CTGCCATGCTTTGTTATGCAATGATTCCAGACTACGTGCTACTGGCCTGGCGTGGTAAAGTGTCCTACCATGGCAGACGGGATAAGGCAGCCCTCCCCAGAAACCTTTTGCAAAGGCTTTGGGAGGACATGAAGGAGAGCTTTCTGGAGATGTCCCTGGAGGATTTCCGCTCCATCCCCATACACGTTAACAGACTTTTCCAGTAGCTGTACTGGCCGCGATTGCCAGGGCAAATTAATCATTAAACACGCTTGCTTTTAAACCATGTGTAATATTTACAAAGGTACACTCACCAGAGGTCCCCTGTGTGCCCTCAGGGTCTGGGAGCACGCCTTGGGTGAGTTCGGGGGTTACTGGTTCCAGGTCCAGGGTGATAAACATATCCTGGCTGTTGAGGAAACCGGTTTCTCCGCTTCCTTGCTGCTGTGAGCTATCTACATTATCTTCATCCTCATCTTCCTCGTACCCTGAACCCGCTTCCCTGTGTGTTTCTCCAGTGAGGGAGTCATAGCACACGGTTGGGGTAGTGGTGGCTGCACCCCCTAGCATGGCATGCAGCTCCGCGTAGAAGCGGCATGTTTGCGGCTCTGCCCCGGACCTTCCGTTTGCCTCTCTGGCTTTGTGGTAGGCTTGCCTTAGCTCCTTAATTTTCACGCAGCACTGCTGTGCGTCCCTGTTATGGCCTCTGTCCTTCATGGCCTTGGGGACCTTTTCTAATATTTTGCCATTTCGTTTACTGCTACGGAGTTCAGCTAGCACTGATTCATCTCCCCATATGGCGAGCAGATCCCGTACCTCCCGTTCGGTCCATGATGGAGCTCTTTTGCGATCCTGGGACTCCATCACGGTTACCTGTGCTGATGAACTCTGCGTGGTCACCTGTGCTCTCCACGCTGAGCAAACAGGAAATGAAATTCAAACGTTCGCGGGGCTTTTCCTGTCTACCTGGTCAGTGCATCTGAGTTGAGAGTGCTGTCCAGAGCGGTCACAATGAAGCACTGTGGGATAGCTCCCGGAGGCCAATACCGTCGAATTCCGTCCACACTACCCCAATTCCGACCCGCTAAGGCCGATTTTATCGCTAATCCCCTCGTCGGAGGTGGAGTAAAGAAACCGGTTTAAAGGGCCCTTTAAGTCGAAAGAAAGGGCTTCGTCGTGTGAATGTGTCCAGGCTTAATTCGATTTAACGCTGCTAAAGTCGACCTAAACTCATAGTGTAGACCAGGCCTAAGGACTACAGTCAATCTGTATTGTATTGAACTTAAATATACTCAAAAAGAAAAGAGGAAGATTCTGATGATGATATCAATAACTCATGGATTGCTCTGGGTCTGGTTGCTATTTAAACTAAAACACAGACAAGGCCACCAATGAGAATCATGTACTGGAAGAGAAGTAGGAATGTGTAAGACTAAAAGTCAATGACTATTTATCTTTCCATAGCACTCTGAATAACATTCCATTTACATTTCTTATTGCAAGTACCCTGTGTTTTGCACCTGGAAACACACACACACATTTTATGTCCGCTAATGGAAACATTAAATTTTCAATTTATTTGATCATGTTCAATTACAAATATATTGATAACTTCCAACTCAACAGGGTATGGATATACATTCTTATTCCTCAGAGAAACAGTTTTGAAATAGTTTAAAGTATATTCATTAGTTGGATAAAGTAATATTTGTACTTTGGCAGTTTTGAGGATAAGTTGTAAGAATAATGCAGCACTCAGTTTGCAAGGAGGCCATGTCCCTTTTGGATTTGCCAGGATGATGATACATGAAAAATGCAGAATAGTTATACTTCTGCACAAAATGCATAAGCAAACAAGAAATCATAGAAATATACACTTTTGATATTATTCAGGATATGCATGTGTCTGAGAAACAGCTTCTGAGATGCTACAATAATAAATTCCTATCCAGAAGAGTATCTGGCTGCCGGATAAATAAATAGATTAGATTTATAAAAAATATTTTTTCTGTGATATATGTGGAATATACAGAATATGATGTGATGGTGGTGTACTGTAAATGTTTTAGTCGCTCTCATTTGAAATGAGTGGCATAACTCAGTTGTGGCTTTGCCAATCGTGAATAAGAGTAATGTGGTTACATCAGATTCATAGCAGTAAACCTTTGTAACACTATACTTTCATATAGTTGTGTCCTCTCTGACATTTCCTATCATTCTAAGTGTTAACAGTGCAACTTGTAATGTTTTGCTAATGTAGATTTTTGTATGGAAAGTTTAATATAACAAAGGGAAAATTAATTGGCTGGTGTACACTGCTTAATGTAATTTTAATTTAAGAGGGAAACTTAATTAAAGATCTGAAGAAAAACTTTTTTTTTTAAACAGTTTGTCTTTGTTAGCTAAGAATAATATTGACAATTTGGCAGGGACCTGAATGCCACACCTAAATTGCATAAAATGAAGCTGATTGCTGTAGCTACAAGTTAATATAGAGAAGTGGCCTGTGATGTGAGAATGAAGAAAATGATTCTTTCTGCTATTCCTTACCAAAGACTCAACCAGAAAAAAGTAGTAACTTAATGCTACACACTTTCTCTGCTTCACTGTTCAGCTTCTATCTAGAACCTTCCTCAAATGGCCCCTGTAATTGTTTAAGTACCAGTCACCTAGTCTCATATCAACTCCTAACCCACTTTTGTCCCATAAAATATATTTAACAAGAATTAA